CAAGCCTGATCTGATGCTGCAGACCTTTCAGCCCATCTGCCTGGGAAGAATAGGAGCCTGTGGCAGGGCCATCCCCGGGGGGCAGATCCTCAGAGTTCTGGGCTGCTGAGCACAGAGAAGTGGTAGGGAGACAGTGCTCTGAGCTGCCTGGGGAAATCCCCATCACTGTATCCCAGCAGGACACATCTTACCTGTGCATCTCTTCCATCTCGCTCTTCTGGACGTGGATGCCTTTAAATAACAGACAAAAGCCGCTAAAATATGTTCCCGAGTTCTCCTCGATAACGCTCAGACCTTAGAAAGGGCCTTTCAGAACCTCTATTTTGGAGTCAAATCTAACAAAGTTGTGAGTAGGTTGGGGCTACCACTTTTTTTTTTTTTTAAGGGGTCAGATAGATCTGTGAGTCTGCCCTACATTGGGCAATTAGTGTCAGGAATAAGTTAAATTCGTAGGACACCCAGCAGATGTTGGAAAATCAGTATTTGTGGATAAAGCCCTGAGAAATATCATCAGACTACACAGAAGAAACAGTTTGTAAGGACTTGCCAGGCACCCACCAAGAAAAGGCAGCTATGGGCTTGGTTTTAAAAATAATCTCAGGTGAGTTTAAGATGGAGATTTTAAATAGACCCAAAATAAAAATACTACATATCAAAACATACAGCCAGTTGTTACAATTTTGATTATGATAAAGTTCAGGTCTTCATACAATAAACAAGAACATAGAGAGCCAAGAAACCTGGTAGTGTAAACCTGTGACACCAGCATTCAGGGGGCTGAAATGGGAGAATCCTGAATTCAAGGTCAGCATAGATCATGTAGCAAAGCTTACAAAACAATACAACATGTTGCAAGGTCTCAAAATAATAATTAAGAAAGGAAAACAAAAAGGAAACACCCACAGGCATCTGCTGACTGACTTAAAAACCCACCACACGGTGGCAAAGACGCTCTGACAGGAATGGGTCCCAAAGATACCATACAAATAAAAGCAGCTGCTCTCCAGGAGATGAACTCCAACTACAGTCCCACGAAGTTCATGAAATGGCCAGGATCATGTAGACAGAAGGCAGACTAGTGGGTCTCAGGAAATGAGGCAGATGAGACAGGACCTAGTATGGAGAGTGAGAAGTTCCAGCCTCGGGAGACGAAAAGTGATGGAAATAAAAAGTCACGATGGCTTCACATGGCGTGAATGAGCAAACACCACTGAACTGTGCATGTAGAATTGATGATGATGGCCATTTTTAAGTTATATGTCATTTTACCACAATGCAAATCTGCCTAAAGGTTTTTTTTTGAAAGAAAAGGAAGTCAAAATATTAAAAAACAAGAACAGCAGACAAAGCAGCCACGAACCTATGAGGAGCAATAAACTTAAATTTAGGAGGGTGAGGAAGATGGGTTGGTCAGTCAAAAGCTCGTCACACAAGCATGGCAACCTAACCTTAGGCTCCAGAGCTGGGTGGACCTGAAGTTCCTGAGCTAGGAGGTGGATGCAAGTCCCTGGGGGCTTGTCAGTAGGACAGTCTAGGCTAATTGGAAAACCTCAGCTTCAAAGACAGAATGATATCTCAAAAAATAAAGTTGAGAGTGATTGAGGAAGTTACCTATCATCAACCTTGGACTCCACATACTTGGCCATACACACAGACTCACACACACCAAAATAAATCTAAGAAAGATATATGATATTTTTTTTTGAGACAGGGTTTCTCTGTAGCTTTGGAGCCTATCCTGGAACTAGCACTTGTAGACCATGCTGGCCTCAAACTCACAGAGATCTGCCTGTCTCTGCCTCCTGAGTGCTGGGATTAAAGGCATGTACCATCACTACCCGGCTAAGATACATAAACTTAAATGATAAAGAGAGAGGCAAGACATGATTAAGACCCGTGCAGAGCTATAGATGGTTTCACAGTCTTGTGACTCCCATAGAGAACTATGCTGTCAATGTGGGATGGGCACAAAGTCTCAGAGACTGAACCTAAAGATAGCCACGACTTTGGGGCTTCTTTTCCAACTCATGAGGTACTCCCAGTGGGCTATGTGGGATACAGAAAGAGCTCCTGTATAAAAAGCATACACACAGAAAACACACACACACACACACACACACACACACAAATACACACCACATACAGCTAAGATTGACATCGAATGTTCTATAAGAGCTAATCTGTTCAGTGGAGAAATTCAGAAACATGGACAGCTCTCAGGCAGTTCTTGCAAACTTGAGTAGAGTAGAAAACGACTCTAAAACCAAATAGACTCTCCCTCAGTGTCCTTAGGCTTTAGGACCTCACATGCACACAAAAGCATGAGAATGCTCAAGCCCTTCTATGAAGTGGTGTAGTATTTGGATATGATTCCCACACACCTCTCATTTATATTACACCATCTGTAGGCTATTTATAATGCAAATGATATGTACTTGTTATATTACATTAACAAAGGAATGACAAGAAGGCTACATATGTTCAGTAAAGAGGTGACTTTTAAACATTTTTCATCCACAGTTGATGGAATCCAACTGTACACAAAACCAAGCTATAAATTAATTTTAATTATGAACATCGACAGTCAAAATCATAAGACAATGTAGCCACCACCTCAGGAATATATTATAATATCACCTCAATTATTCTGTTAATGAAACCTTCTGCTGGGTAAATTGAAATTTCTGATCCTTTCTATCAATCCTGGGAAGGCTTTGACAGAAAGATACTAACCTGATTTTTCCCAGAGAGCAGTAATAGTTGAGAGGATACACAGATAACTTTTATTGTGATGAAGAAAATACATGTCTTCATACAAGAAAAACTGTGAGTCATTAAACTATCCATCAACGTTAAGAACAAGGCAAGTATGCAAACAAGCCAATTACTGGTCTCAAGTGCAGTTGGATAGAAAGGCAAACAAAGATACTGGGAAGGATGAGTTAAAAGAAAATCTTAGAAACAAAATGATCACAATTATGGTGGCTAATTAACATTAACAGACAGAATTCAACTACTTTCCTATACATTCGGCTAGAAAACAGAATCGATGCCATCCAACCGAAAATGGTAACCACCCGGTAAGACACCCAGAAATGAACAGCAAGAAATTTGTTCTTGCTTCTCGACTTTCCTGAACAGTCCTATTTACTACATAAAATCAGATTTGAATACAAGTTGAAATCGTGGAGTTCCCAGACAAGAAGTATGTCTAGTGTACTAGTGACCACCCTTGGAGAAAAACAACTAAATCCTTATCTATATTTCTTATGATGAATCTTAAAGAATCAAAAGTTATAAAGGTAAACAAATGAAAACACTGGTTTAGAAAGAAAATGGAGTAAATTTATTTGTAAACTCAACACAGCGAAGACCTTCTAGAGGGCAATCTTACATTCTACAATGGAAAACACGAATGAACTAGCAGCATAGAGTTTTAAACTTTCTATATGTCAATATATATGCACTCAATAAATAGTATCAAAAACCAATGCCAAACAAAGATTAAGAGAATAAACAACTAAAATTTGTATAAAAGATAGAATATAAAATTGAAATTATCAAAATATATATGAAAAATTCAACCTTGCTCATGGTTAAATGAACTAAAATCAGAATGTTGTTGCCTTATCATTTTTTACCAGTCAGATTGGGAATGGAAAAATTAAATATGAAAATATTTAACACCAGAGAGCTGAGCATCTGACCCTTTAATTGTACTCTGGGTGGGGGTACCCACTGACCACAGAGGACCATCTGGAAATATTTATCAGAAATCTAAATGCACATAGTCCTACCTGCATCCATTTCTAAACTGGAATTTATACCAAGATACACTCAGAAAAGAATATGGCAAAGAATGCACTAAAAAGCTAACTACAGACTTGTGTATAAAAATAAAACCTGGAAATACTGTAGCTACGTGCTCACCACTAAACCTGGAAAT